GGGAGGGGGGGGTCACTTGAAAAAAAACGTGTGAATGAGCATGTTCTCTATACTGATGAGGGGAAAAACCTAAGGAAGAAAATGTCCCAGCTGGTGTTGCTCAGTGGTTAGAGCATCGGCCCCCACACTGAAGGGTCCCGGGTTCAATTCCCAGTCAAGGGAAAGGGCCTTGGTTGCAGGCTCGATCCCTGACCCCAACATGGGGTGCGTGCAGGGGGCAACCAATCAATGTGTCTCTCTCACATCGATGTTTCTCTCTCTCCCTTTCGCTCTCTCAGAAAAGCAGTGGAAAAAAAATATCCTTGCATAAGGATTTAAAAGAAAAAAAACTAAGGAAGAAAGGAAAATAGGCATAGAACACTATGTACAGTGTGCTAACTTTCGCAGAAGAGAGCAGGATGTAGGTTTTCTTATAAGTATATATACGTATTTCTATTTTTTTATAAAAGCCCTAGAAAGGTACACAAGATACTAATAAAATGAGCTGCCTGTCGTCTTAGTCCTTTCGGGCAGTTATAACAAAATACCATGGATTGGAGGGGGCTTATAAATGAAATGTATTGCTCACAGTTCTGGAGGCCGGACGTCCAAGATCAGGGTGCCAGCGAAGCTGAGTGAGGGCCTTCTTCTAACGGGCAGACTTCTGACTTCCGTCTGTCCTCAGGCAAGGGAAGAAGTGAGGGATCCGTGTCGAGTCTCTAGGAGGACTAATCTGTCCTGGAGGCTCCTCTCTCGAGACTAAGCCCCTCCCAAAGCCCCGCCCCTTACTACCATTGCCCCCCTTTAACTGTGTGTCTGAACGTTGCCGCATTCAGTGGGCACCCGGCAATGCTTGTTGAGTGGCTGAGTGACCCACAGCTCAGGAAATGCAAATTCCACATTACACCTACTCCTCACATCCTCCCTTCCCCCGCCTGGTCCAGTTTTTTCCCTTGGCCCTGATCATGGTTTTGGCTATTCCCTTGGCTACGACAGCACTGTCCCCCCCCCCTTCGCTCCCTAATGAGATGGCAAGAGACCCCAGATGGCAGCCCCAAGAACCCCAGAGAGGCCCTGGCTAGTGCGGCTCAGTGGTCAGAGCAGCGGCCCTCACACCGAAAGGTCATCGGTTCGATTCCCAGTCCAGGCCACATACCTGAGTTTCAGGTTCAATCCTCGGGCCTCGGTTGGGGCGCTTGCAGGAGGCAAGCAATCGATGTGTCTCTCACATTGATGTTTCTCTCTCTCTCCCCCTCCCTCTCTCCCTCCCTCCCTCCTTTCTGCTCTCTCTAAAAATCAATGGAAAAAATATCCTCGAGTGAGAATTTTTTTTTAATTTATTTTTTTTTAGAAAGGAACCTGCACTTACTGCAGGACCAGCCGTCTCTTGTGGTCATGGGCATTGAGCCCAGAGAAATGGATTCTTATGTTCAGGCAAAAGCCTGCGCACTAATGTTCACGGCTGATTTATTCATCGTAACGGCCTGTGAATGACCCAAATGTCCCTCGGTGGAGAAATCACTGAACACGCTCTGGTCCAACAGAGCAGTCACTGGTCAGCAGCGAAAAGGAATGAACTTCTGACCCAGGCAACGGCCTGGGTGGACCTCAGTAACATTATGCTCAGTAGGAAAACAAAAGTCAACTGCAAAGTGTTGCATCCAGTATGATTTCATTCAGATGGCATCTTGAAATGAGAAAACTATGCCCGGCCGGCGTGGCTCAGGGGTTGAGCGTCCACCTATGAACCAGGAGGTCATGGTTTGATGCCTGGTCAGGGCACATGCCCGGGTCGTGGGCTCGATCCCCAGTCGGGGACCTGCAGGAGGCAGCCGATCAATGACTCATCACTGATGTTTCTCTCTCTCTCTCTCTCCCTCTCTTTTCCTCTCTCTGAAATCAATAAAGATATATTTTTAAAAAGTAAAATAAAATCTCAGGCATGGAGTAACCATATTTTACAAGGACACGTGAATTCAAAGGTATATGTCGAGAGAGAGAGGGGCTCAGGCTGTCCCTATTCTTGTTTTCAGGGCTTCCCAGGCTCTGAAGACCTACTGTTTCTGGGCTCCCCTCCTTGGCTCCTTTTGGGGGTTAAGCACTGAGCCTTCCCAGTGCCTCCCCCGGCTGGGCGCTAGGTGGCTCCCCTGCTCCGCTGCCACCCCCGTGCCCAAGGCTCCAGCCAGGACGGAGGTTCTGAGGCTGCCCTGCTGTTCGCACCGCTGGGTCCAAGTTCAGGGTCCAGACAGGTGCACCCAGGGAGGACGG